TGGGGGGGGGGGACACCACGCCTCCCCTGCCTGGATCCTGGCTTCCTGCCGTGCCCCCTTCCAGCATCCGTGGGCTTCCTGGCTTATGTGGCCAGCCTGAGGACAGGGAGGATCTGGACAGGCTGAGGACAATGGCCTTGGTTCTGGCAGCACCCTCGTGGGTGGGGCCATTATTGAGTAGGGGAAGGCTGGAATGGCACCTTGTTTTCAGAGAAGATCAGGGGTTGTTGGGGACCACGTTGAGCCTGAGCTTCTCTGTTACAACTTCTGTTTGTTCTTCAAATCCTGTTGTCTCCCTCTCGAGTGGGTGAGCTGTGACAAATTATAAATAGGCTTATTTTGGTTTTGGATATTCAGATGTTATTTCATATTAATATTAATTTTATGGAGCTAGACAATGTGGTTTTCTGCCTGGTTCTGCCATTGCCAGCTGTGTGACCCGGGACAGTTACTTACCCTCTCTGGGCTTCACTTTCCTTGTCTGTAAAAGAAAGACACTATATGTACCTCATGAGGATGTTTTGAAGATTAATAAGTCAATATATTTAAGATGTTGGGAGCAGAGGTTGGGACAGAGTAATAATCATTGATGTGTTAACTGTTGCATTAGCTTAGGTCTTCTCTTTTCTCTCTATAAGCTTTGTCTTACACAGGTGGAGGCGGCCAGGTAAAGGTGTATCTCTTAGACACCAGTATCCAAAGTGGTCATCGGGAAATTGAGGGCAGGGTGACAGTCACTGGCTTTGATGATGTGCCTGAGGAAGACGGGACAGACTTCCACAGACAGGTAAGCGCACTCCTCACCTCTGTCCTGGTAGTGGGGAGGGACTGCCCTGCCCCCCAGGATGGTGGCTGCAGTGCCAGCCACGCCCCACCACCACCCCCGGCCATCACTATCCCTCCCCTGCTATAGGTTGTGGGGCGGGGGGACAGTCACCACGTGCTCATATATTGTGGTGTGGACAGACTGTCTCTGACCAGCTTTGTGTTGTTCAATCAGGCCAACAGGTGTGACAGCCATGGCACCCATGTGGCCGGGGTGGTCAGCGGCAGAGATGCTGGCGTGGCCAAGGGCGCCAGCCTGCACAGCCTGCGTGTGCTCAACTGCCAAGGGAAGGGCACAGTGGGTGGCATCCTCAGAGGTGAGTAGGGCAGGGCTTTGGCCCATACCCAGACCAAGGAGGCCCAGGCAGCCTCAGCGTGAGAGTCCCAGAGAGCCAGAGCTGGCAGGCACCACCCGCCCCCAGGCACAGTGCAGATGGGGGAACTGAGGCTCAGACTGGGGCTCAGTCCAGGAAGGTCATGCCGCTCTGCCCCAGGTCAGTGGGCTCTCTACGATCTCACGCTGTTCTCTTTCCCAGTCTTTCAGGACTAAGTCTGTAGCCATGTTATTTTAGATTCAGATGCTTTCTTTTTTTCTGCTGGCTTACCTCTAAAATGGGCACGTACTTGCTTGCATGGCTGATTAGACTCAGGGGTCACCCCAGCTAGGTGGACGGGGTGGAGGAAGTGCAGGACATTTTTCTAGACTCTTGAAGGTTTCTTCATCTCATCTGCCTGGTAAGCCGCAGGTGCAGTTGAGCTGAGGGCTGGGCCCTGGCGTGAAGGGTGGTGGAATAGCAGGGACTGGATCTCACACCACTTTCCTCTTGTGCTCAGGCCTACAGGGTGATTATGAGGTCATGTGGGTGCCTATATCCAGGTGCTTAGAAAGCCTGGCATGTCCGAGTGCTAGAAGTCTGCTGGTTTGCTGTCTTGGCTGTGGTTCACATGCTCCTCACGTTCCCGGGAGTGTGTCACGGCTCCACAGAGAAGCAAAGCCAGTAGGATGCGTGTGCATACAGTTGACCCTTGAGTCACAATGGGGCTAGGGGTGCAGCCCTCCTGTGGATTTCCAGATAACTTGACTGTCCTAAAACTTAACTATGTCCCTTGGTAACCTCAGGTGATTGATTTCAACCTCCCCCAACCCCCTACCCCCAAAATATAAATGCTCAAGCCTCCATATCTGCAGGTTTTATAGTTCGAGCTTCAACTATCTGATCCATGGTTGGTTAAACCCATGGGGCCAACTATATTTGAGGTGTGGCTGCATGTGGGACCCTCAAATATGGAAGGCCAATTATATTAATTGAAACCATCTGCATGTAAGTGGACACGTGAAGTCCCACCCCTGTCGTTTGAGGGTCAACCATATATTTATATGTAGATTTATTTCAAGGAATTGGCGCATAAGCTTGTGGGGGTTGGCAAACCTGCAGTGGAGGCTGGCAGGATGGGAATTCTGGTAGGAGTTGATGGTGCAGTCTCGAGGCTGAAGGCAGACTGGACACAGAGTTCCCTCCTTGGGGAAACTTCAGTTTTCTTTTAAGATTTTCCAACTGATTGGCTGAAGCCCACGCCCATTATGCAGGGTCATCTGCTTTCTGCACAGTCTACAGATTTCAACGTTAATCACAGCAGTATGGAAACTCTTGCTGGGCCAGACATCTGGGTGCCATAGTCTAGCCCAAGTGACATATAAAATTAGTGCTTATGCTGCCCCTTGAGGAATGGACTAGGAGACAGGGAGCACCAGTCCTCAGGGTGACCTTGGCTTTGTCCTCTCAGGTTTGGAGTTTATTCGGAAAACTCAGCTGGCCCAGCCCTCAGGGCGCTCTGTGGTGCTGCTGCCCCTGGCGGGCGGGTACAGCCGGGCCCTCAATGCCGCCTGCCAGCGCCTGGCGAGGACTGGGTCGGTGCTGGTGGCTGCTGCTGGCAATTTCTGGGATGACGCCTGCCTCTACTCCCCAGCCTCGGCCCCCGAGGTGAGTGTGGATATCCACCTCCCAGCATGGAGGGCAGGCAGGTGCCCCTTGGCCTCGTGGGCGTGGGCCTTGGCCTCCACTTCATGTAATGAGTTCCTGGAGGCTGAAGGAGCCTGGCCTGGAAGGAGTGTCAGAGACCCTCAGTGCAGGAGCGTGGATGGGAGGCTTGACACTCCACAGCGTAGCCTGTGGATAACACTGCATAACTCTCGTCTCCCTGCCACACAGCCGCTCTCTCCAGAAAGCCTCCTCACCTCTCCACCTCTTCTGGTGCCCATGACTTTGGCCGTCTAGCCTCCATTTCCTCCCCCTTGGCTGATACCACTGTACCTCAGCATTCTCTCTGCCTCCCCCTTTCTCCCTCCCATAGCTCCCCATAACACAAACAGCTCCTATTCAGGACTTATGGGGTCTTCCTATGGCACAACTACCCACCCGGGTCTCCCCAGGATCCACATGAGCAGACTTAGCCAGCAGTTCCCATCTGGGCGCGGCTAATGAGATCTGGAGCCCTGAGGGGCCAGAGTCTCTCAGGTGTGTGTCCGACACTGTCCAGGTGTGGTCCTGGCCGTTGGGCTGCATGACCACATAGACAGGCCCGGAGGGGCCAACAGATCAGCAGGCCCACGGTGGCCCCTTCCTCTGGCCGACATGCACAGGGCCCCTGTGCTGGGCAGTTTGGGCATGAGTGTCGTGGGAGGAAAGAACCTCATTCTGCTTAAGGGCTCTCCACTGTGTGTGTGTGTGTGTGTGTGTGTTGGGACAGTGGGGGTGTGAGTCGGACTGCGGTAAGCTTTCCCGACTGCTGAGTTTATGATAACGGAAAACTGCGCTCATCTGCTCTGCCTTTCTGCTTGCTTGCTGCGTCCACAGCACCTCTGACTGCCGGAGCCACTGAATAGGTCCCTGTATTTGTTTATTACCTGTCTCCCCACTAGAAGGGCCTGGGGAATGTGATTGACACATGGTAGGGACAGAGGGCAGCCCCAGCCTGGGTGGGGTGGGGCACCAGGTTTGCCTGGGGAATCCGATTTCCCTCAGAAGGGGACATTTGCATGGGAACCAAACATTCATACATACGTTGGCCAGCCAGCTGGCATTCTGTTCCTTCTGCCCTCCCCTCGGTTCTAATTAGCCACCACTGCCCTCTCATCAATCCAGGTCATTACTGTTGGAGCTACGAACGCCGAGGACCAGCCGGTGACCCTGGGAGTTCTGGGGACCAACTTTGGCCGCTGTGTGGACCTCTTTGCCCCAGGAGATGACATCATAGGTGCCTCCAGCGACTGCAGCACCTGCTTTATGTCCCAGAGCGGGACGTCCCAGGCTGCTGCCCACGTGGCTGGTGAGTCGCCACCCAGGACCTCAGGCACCGTGCTCCTAACAGCTTCTTTGGCTGTTAGGGTGTGCACCAGGACGCCCTGTGCCAGGCTCAGGGCTGGGCACTCAGGACCAAAGATGGGTGAGACAGATGATGACCTCAAAGACACTCAGTCTGATGGGGTGGCAGCTGCACAGAGCAGTCAGGATTGTGTAGAAAGGAGCCAGAGGTGTCACCTGCCCGGCCTGATAGTCAGGGAAAGCCTTGTGGAGGATGGGCATTTGATCTAGGGTTTTGTGGATGAATAGGAGTTTACCTGGCGCTAGCCACAGTTCAGAGGCGTGAAAGTAGAATGTAAAGTGGTCTTACCATTTAGTTTTCACTTAGCATGGGCTTTAGAAGGTTTCATTTCTGGAAGAATGGCTTGGCCCATGTGTGCACGCATGTTTCTGTGCCCATGGACGGCATGTGTGTGCTGGGAAGGGAGACTGAGGCTGGGAAGGAAGGCATGACCGCCCTATCTCACCACCTGTCCACCACTAGGCATTGTGACCGTGATGCTGACCACCGAGCCAGAGCTCACCCTCACAGAGCTGAGGCAGCGACTGATCCGCTTCTCTGCCAAAGATGTCATCAATGAGGCCTGGTTCCCTGCGGACCAGCGGGTGTTGACCCCCAACTTGGTGGCCACTCTGCCCCTCAGCACCCCGGGAGCAGGTCAGCAGGATGGCAGGGTGGGCAGAGTCCTGGTAGGGACTTGGGAGGCCCATGTGTCCTTGGTGATCTCAGCACCTCCTTCTTCTGGGGTGGGGGGTGAGGGGTGGGTTGGGCTCAACGGGAAAGGTCTCAGTGAGCAAATAGATCCTTCCCACCACCACCAGCCAAAGCCTCCACCGCAGTGCCTACTGGGGACACCCTTCCCCACTGGGCCCCGCTCACGCCAGGTCCCCTTGCAGATGGGCAGCTGCTCTGCAGGACTGTGTGGTCAGCGCACTCCTCGGAGGCCCTGGCCCGCTGTGCTGTGGATGAAGAGCTGCTGGGCTGCTCTAGTTTCTCCAGGAGGGGCCGGCGGCGGGGAGAGCGTGTGGAGGTGAGCTGCTCCCCACCAGTCATCTGTGTGTCTGTCACGATGCAGGACTCCCTCTGCGAGCCCAGAGCAGCCCTGTTTCCCCAGCCCTGACCCCCCTCAAGTCCCTCTGTCTTCGGGACCCTAGGGCTCATCTGCAAGCTCAGAGGCTGGGTAGGCACATCTGGGTGATGCGTGCTTGGGTGCTGTGAAGGTCAGCTGGCGGCTTCCGGGAAGTGTGGGCTGCACAGCTGGAGGGAGTCCCCAGGGAGTGGGGGAGCCAGCACACCGGCCTGCCGCCTCCAGAGTCAGTGGCCTTCACAGCCCTTCTCACTCAGCTGGTTCATGGTCCTGATGGCTGACCAATCTTCCCAAATCAGCAAAAGAGGAATTAATGCAGAGGTCGCAGGGCTGTGCCCAAAGGCTGTGTGGCCATGGCATCCTGGTGGCGGGCAGTGCCCAGGCTGGGGCTGGGGTCTGAACACACTTAACCATGACCGTGCAGATGAGCCTGTTTGAGAGATGCCAAGAGTAGGTTGGGACCAGGCAGGCCGAGTTCCTGCGTTGGCATCTTAGGATTCTGTCCATTTTGAAGTCACTCTCAGTATCCAGGAGAACGTTATATGACACGCAGAGCTGCCCATCTGCAGACAGTTTGCCTGACCAGGAGCGAGCTCCTTGTCCCCAGAAGGCACGGGCTGGCCTGGCAGGGGCAGAGAAGAGAGTTTGAGGCTTGGAGCAGGCAACTGAGCTTGTCTGCTTCAGCCCCCTTCCCCCTTCTAAAGCACACTGTTGTTTCTGTCTTTGACTCTCAGTCCCAAGGGGGCAGGCGGGTCTGCCTGGCCCACGGTGCATTTGGGGGTGAGGATGTCTTCGCCATTGCCAGGTGCTGCCTGCTACCCCAGGCCAGCTGCAGCGTCCACACAGCTCCACCCAGGGGTGCTGGCAGGGAGACGCATGCCCACTGCCACCAGCAGGGCCGTGTCCTCACAGGTAGGCATCTTGGCCCACCCTGGGGTGAAGGGGCACCCCATCTGTGTACCCTGCCCTTCCCAGCTGGTCCTGCTGAAGCCTTACTGTCCTGTGTGTTTCCACCCCCTAACCCTGGGCAGTGACCTCGCTCCTCTCACCTTGGCTTCCTCCTCCCTAAGAGCAGCCTCAGTGCCTGCCTCCTCCAAATGAGTCATGTTCAGAGAGCAGCAGCTTGGGGAGTAGCTCAGAGACGGGCTTAGAAAGTGGAGCTGACCATGGTTTCTTCCTGGCTCTGCCAGTCAGCAGCTGTGTGACCTGGGCAAGTTACTTAACCACTCTGTGCCTTATTATCTTCATCAGAAAATGAAGATGGTGGGTGTTAAGCACTTGGCACAATACTAGCTATTGTCACTGTCATCATTGTCAAAAGCAGGAAGTCACAGATGGACCCAGGAGTGTGCCCCTTAGCCTGCTAGGAGGCTGAGCATCCTACTTGGAAGGGGCGTGGGGCATCCCTGGGAGAGTTTGGGGAGATTGTGGGTTTTGGCCTGGAGTAACCAGCTGGGTATCTCCTGGTGGGGGGGGCTCCTGAACATCTAGGGACTGGTGGGTGATGAGGGGGTGATGAGTCGGACTGAGTCTAGAATGAGCAGCAGGATAGATTTGCAGTGGAAAGATGAGCTCAGGCAGCTGGCGTCCTTGTTTGCGGGAGAGGCCGGGACGGTCTGCATGCTGCTCCTCATCTACACAAGGGCGTGTGGGCTGGGCTAGCTGAGAAGCCTCTTGGGCTTACAGCCGGGGTGCACAGATGGAGGCCCCAGAGGGACATCAAGCTCGCCCCTGACTTCTCCCTGGGCGCTTGGGTGGGCATTCCCTCTCCTGCTCTAGCACCTCAGGCCTTGGGGTCCCTGCCCTCTTCCGCCCCATCTCTGGGTAGAGAAATGATGTTTCCTTTGAGAAACCCAGGCTCAGCGAGACTAACTGGCTTTCTCACAGTCACACACAGGTCCGAGGCAGAGCCGAGCACCCAGGATCCCGAGTCTCTTTCCCACCTTGGCTTGTTTCTGGGTTCCTCATCTTCTGCTTCAGAGCCCATGTGGCAGGGGTGGGAGGGGAGCCCTGGTTTCCCTGCATGGGTGTCTCAGGTGACTCTCCACTCCTCCAGGCTGCAGCTCCCACTGGGAGGTGGAGGATCTTGGCGCCCCCAGGCACCCCAGACCGAGGCCACGGCCCGCCGGGTGTGTGGGCCACGAGGAGGCCAGCGTCCACGCTTCCTGCTGCCACGCCCCGGGTTTGGAGTGCAAAGTCAGGGAGCATGGGGTCACGGGCCCTGCCCAGAAGGTGAATTGGCATACGCAGGCCGGCGGGCGGGAGCCTGGCAGCTGTGGGCGGCTGGTGACTGTCCTTGCAGTTTCTCCTTGTGTGTTTGTGCTGACTCTTCTGTGTCTGGGTGGTGGTTTGTGAGGCAGATGCTGCTGGCAGCGTTTGCGATTGTGTGAATGTGTGTGTGTGTGTGTGTGTGTGCTGAGAGTAGTGAGTTTGCTATCTGGGCACCCACAGTATTAAAAGAGGGTGATGGGTGTTCCAGGTAGAGGGAAGTCAGGCTGAAGACCCTGAGGTGGGAGGACATTCCTGGAGGACGCCAGAACAGACAGGAGGCCAGGGAGGAGGGGACAGAGTGAACTGGGGTGGGGGGGGCAGAGAGGGCCCCGGCCAGGTCGGTGGGGTCTGAGTGCCACAGGAAGGACTTCTGTCCAGTTAACTTGCAGCCACGCAAGGTTCTGCGCTTGGGGTGGGGTGAGGGTGGGATGGGGGAAGCAGGTGCCTGACCTGAGTTTGATGAGCACCCAGGATCCCGAGTCTCTTTCCCACCTTGGCTTGTTTCTGGGTTTCTCATCTTCTGCTTCAGAGCCCATGTGGCAGGGGTGGGAGGGGAGCCCTGGTTTCCCTGCATGGGTGTGCAGAGGAGAGGCTGAAGAGGCCTCTCCTCCAGGGAGACTGGATGGACTTCGGCTGTGACTGTCCAGGCCTGGGTGGGGGGACTCAGCCAGCGGGAGTGTGGAAGGTCCTGGTCACGGAAGGGGCGGCCTGTGGATCTGACAGACTAGATGTGGGTGGGCAGAGCAGAGGGCGGATCCAGGTGTTCTCTGGGCGCCTGGACAGATGCGCTGTCACTGGCTGGGGTGGAGAGGCTGTGGGGGGTGCGGGAGCTGAGGATGAGGGCAGTGCGCCCCACAGACCTGTGTAGTCCAGGAGCTGTTGTGTGTGTGTGTGGGGGGGCGCCGTAGGGGTGCCAGGTGGGCTTAGGGCGGAGCCAAGCGGGGGTGGGGCCTGAATGCCAGGCAGTGTGTCATGTGCTTGCTTCCTGTCCCGGGCCCTGGCAGGTGGCCGTGGCTTGCGAGGAGGGCTGGACCCTGACTGGCTGTGGGACTCTCCCAGGGGCCCTGTACACCCTGGGGGCCTACCCAGTGGACAACACCTGTGTGGTGAGGATCCAGGACATCAGCAGCGAATTCGAGACCAACGAGGGGGCTGCAGCTGCTGTTGCCATCTGTTGCCGGACCTGGCCCTTGAGGGTGCAGGCCTCACAGGGGTTCCATTGACAGTCCCCTTAGAACACAATGCACGGAGAAGGGGTCAAGGCTCGGCTGCAGGGATCCCACGTCTTAGGTGGGTGTCGACATGGTTCCTTCTTCCCCCGAAGCTCTCTTCAGCTTGGGCCATGGGCTATCTCCTCCTTCCTGGAGCCCCTGCTGCTTACGCTCCAGGGAGGGGTGAGGGCTCCTTGCCCGGCAGACGTTGTTCTCTCACCCTGGCTCACCCCTTTCCCAAACCCGAGCTGAATGGGGGCCGAGTGTAGCAGGTCCTTGCTGGAGGCATCCACAACGCCTTGAGCTGTGCTGAGCTTCCTGCCAGCTGCTTGCAAGGCGGACGCTTGTGTGCAGAGTTACGTTCTGTCGAGCTCCTGCTCCGTCGGCCTCCAGGAAGGAGGCAGCAGTCCTCCCGTGGGGATGCCAGGAGGCACCTGGGAGCCTGATGTTGGTCGGGGCAAGTGAAGAGTGGAAGATGAAGATGGCTCCTCACCAAGACCCTTTGGATTCCACACCTTGGGGTGCAGGGTGGAGGAAGGCAGCAACAGGGTGATGCTCCCTGAGAGCTGGCCAACATCTCAGTGTCCAAAGTGCTTCACCATGTTCCCGCAGGGTTTCAGTGCAGCCTTGAGGCAAAGGCAGGACCTGTTCTGCCACTGGATAGATGAAGATGTTCAGGCTAGAAGATTGGGCCCAAGGGCAGATGAGCCCAGAGCTTAGTTCAAGTCCTTGCCCTGTCTCCTGAGAGCTCTTCATCAGTTCTGAGATGTGCAGACTTCCCTATTCCTGCCAGTAGGACTCAGCTCCTGGAAGAGGTCTTGTTGCTAAGTCCTAGGTCCTGTACACCCGTCCCCACCCCCCCCCCCACCAGCCCAGCCTCACAGCGCCAGAGAGAGGTTGGGGACTCATCTTGGGTGACCCCAGGCTGGCCCTTTCTTTCAGCTCCCCTCCCCAGGCTGTCCGGCTTTGGTGTCCACTCAGGAGTTGGCTGCAGGGCTGGCTTTTGTTTGCAGTGGCTGAAGGGCACTGTGGTTCTTACACACCTCACCCACATTGCACACTGGGATGCAGAGGGGCACGCCTGCCAGCTGGAGTGAGGGGTGCTCGGATAGACGCAGCAGGTTCTAAAGCCAAGTCTGCTCCATGCTAGGGCGGCAGCCTGTTCATACTGGTGAGGTCTGTCTAGCACTGGGTGACTGCACCCTGCTTGCTCCTGGGTGGGTGGTGGTAGCCAGTCCTGAGGGGCAAGAGCAACACTCCCTAGAGTGCCTGCCAGGCATGTCTTTTGTCTGTTTGTGAACAGCAGTTAGAACAAGTAGCTTTCTGGACTTGTGTTTTGCTTTTGTGACTTGAAAATATTTATTCCGGGTTTTGTAGTATTTTTTATTCCATGGTGACTTTAAAAATAAAAGCAACTTTGTCACACCTTTCTCTTGAATATGATGCTTTGTTCACAACAGGCCTTTGAATGGTTGGGTAAAGCAAGTATTTGATGAGTTCTTGTATTTCGATACGATGAGGACTATGCCTGTCCTAGTATGAGCGTGTTCCTGAAACTTCCTTGTCTCTCAAGCAGTCAGGCTTCCCCCCTTACAGCATTCTAGATGCTCTGCTTCCATGTCTCCTGCTGAGCTCTGGACTCCTTTTCATTTTCCTCTCCCCAGCACAGAGCAGTCAACGCTTCTGTAATAAGTAATATTAGATTTCAATGACTCTGGAATGATGTAAATCTTTTGTCGACAATCATTTTTCATGTCATGAAGTATGAACAGTCTCAAGACTTCCTAGTTATCAAATCCCTCAATGTGGAACCTCCAGCCCCACACTCTGAGGTTGGCAAGTGTCTTATGCAAGACCTATCACTAAACAGTCCATATCATATATGAGTACCTACTTGCAAAGGCAAAAATCCACCAAACTATATTCTCTGACAGTTGAGTGTCATGCAGAGCAGGCAAGAGCAGACAGATGCTAATGGCCCGAATGCAGGAGTGCCCTGTGTGTATCTGCCCGCTGTGCAATGCCAGCCACTCCCTCCCTCTTGACGGTGCAGAATCCAGCATGGGGCTGTTAGCTAGTCACACCCTGACAGCGCCAGGGCTGAGAGGAGGGAACAACTTGGTTCTAGCAGGGTGACAGATGGTCACTCGTAGTGGAGGAGGAAGGGATGTGGCTACAGGCATGGAAAAGGAGAGGAGGAAACATCCAGGAAAGGGGAGTCTGTGTACAAACAGAGGCCATTAGGAGGGAGGCTGGGACATGTGAGGTGTGGCAAGAAGCCTGGCTTAAGAACATCATTCACACCAGGGCCACTGCGAGACTGGAAAGCTGTGGGGGAGACGAGATGTCTGCAGGCCATCGGTATGAGTATGGCACTCAGATCCAGACTTTGCAAATGAACCCCAAAATGGGCAGATTATCTAGTGGAAAGGGCAGTAAAAGGCTTAGAAGACGCACCATGCCCTCATCATTCAAAAGCCCTTACTCATACCAGAGTGCAGAGTACTGAAGAGAATCCTAGCACCCCTGCCCCACCCGAGGGCACACGCTGATGTGGAGAATAATGTCGGTGAGACACCAAGTCTATGTTTTTGAAAAATTTATTTACCCTTAGACGCTAAGAACTCTGCCACTTGTGAACCAAACTTAGAATTACGATATTCCCCTAGTTTACCTACTTTCTTTTGAAATTTTATAAACAGGATTTTATACACAAGAGGTAGCAGAGGAAAATTCCAGTCTGCTTGTCCCAAGCTCAAAATGTAACTGCACACACCTCAATGTTAGCAGGGAGGGTGGGTCAAGACAGGGCGAGTCTGGGGGCACGGTGCTTGGGTGCTATGCCTGCTCTAGCTGTGGGGACCACTCGAGCACTGGGGTCCTGGGCAAACGCCCTTGGGGTGCTTGTTTGTTTTCTTTCCCCGAAGGCTGCTAAATGGCAGACTCGGCTATCCTAAGCCAGGCCTCACAAAGCCAGCTTCTAGAGAACACACAGCATTGAGTTAGTTGTGCAATTCCTACTCGATGTGCAGACCTTTTTAAAAGATTTATAAAAGCATCTTCATCCAAAAAATTGGCAGTAGAAATGACAACTCTTCCAGGGTAAGCCTGTCATAATTGTACTACATTTAAAAAGTCATCAGCAGGTTCGCAGACTGCAGCCGGTGGAAAGCAAGTGGTTACTGGCAAAGTCAAAGTGCTGTTCACTGGAGCAACAATGGAAGCGACATGAAGCAGAGCGTCTAACCAGACAGTGATGGGCGGTCCTGCGGCTTTATAGCGAGGACAACGGGTGCTGGGGTGGTGGACGGCGCTGTTTCCATAGGAAACAGGGGACCAGAAGTGGTTATTTCACTCCTGAATTTGGGCTCCTGAGAGTGCAGTTGCGAGCAATGATACCCAACACCTATCATCGCTGGCACGTCAAAGTCTTGTCTCACACATTCTGAGGTTGTGGGTGGAGAGGAGGGGAGGGCGGGGTGGGGAGAACAGGAGGATATGGACTCAAAATCAACTTTAAATATCATTCAAAACTCAAGAACATGAGAGCTATGTACCATTAGCTCAAGGCCTCTGATCCTTCCCTGAGGGGGCACCTGTGCTCTTAAACGCTGGCCCCCTTCTCCTCAGTGGCTCTGACAAAGCCGTGGCGAGCCTGTGGGAGTGACACGGTACAAAGGGAAGACTGTGGTCCCCTCCACAGCCGGGTGGCGAGTGCACAGCCAGAAGAAGCTGATGTTCTGTCACGAGGCCACACGAACTCCAAGAGCGACCAGAAAGGCACTTTGAGGCTGGCCTGGCCTCTCTGACTTGGCAAATCTGACAGTGGCGCCCTGGCTCTCCCTAAGGCTTCCCAAGTTCCTTGTGCGGTGAGCTGAAAATAAGGCAGAACACACAACTCAAGACAAGACAGGGTTGAAAATGTGTGCAACCACTCAAAATACAAAATCTCTGAAATATGTCAGCATATCCCCACTCCCCCAAAGCAACCTGACCCCCAAAGGGGAGCTGGAATCTAACCTGAAATAAACAGTTTCATGTTATTTCTGCGAAATAAGTCTTATCCCTTCTTTTTCAGCCTTTGTCACCTTAAGGAGAAACAAAGTCTCAAATTTCTTCTCTGCATTAAAATGACCAGAAACTGCACAGAGTAGTGTCTCCCAACTCAAATGTTCACCTTTAGATACAACTGGTACACCGAGGGTTCTAATTGTGTTTTAGGCAAAGGTAAATGATTGCAGGTCACGTGATTTAAGACTACAGTTTATTCAATATGTCTCCAAGCATTAAAAAAGGTGATTTTGTGAATTCAAACTCAATAAAACTATATCTTAAAGTGCTTTTTATTTTGCAGTTTTAAAATTTTGTTGTGGGAACAACCCATACTTTCCTCAGTGACTGATGTCCAAGAATACACCTGTACTTCTGGAGACCACAGCTTTTTTTTTTTTTTTTTATTGCTCTTTTCAATCTTAATTAGATCAGAAAAATACCTTTAAAGAGCTTATTAATTTTCCAATTTTTGATTCATAGCATTTCATCCAGATCCAAGGTTATGCCCAGGCTTTCATCCAGACCCATCTGAGATTCTATACAAATAGGGAGACATATTAAATACAAAGGTCTGTGTAAACTGAGTTCTTTAACTACTATTTTACAATGAGAAGGAGTTTTATCAGGTATTTTTACATCATTTTAAATTGAATATTTCTACTCAACATTACTGCAATATTTAAAAATTTGCCCCAAATAGCTAAAGGCAGCCTTTATATATATATATATATATATATATATATATATAAACCAAAGGAATTTGTTTCGTAGTATCACAGAGAAACCAACAATTTTCCCCTCACTCTTGTATGTTCCTATGACAGAAAGTCTGCCACCGGCTTTCCTTCCTAAAACCTCTACCGAGAATGTGAATCACGTCTGGACTGTGCACCGGACGGATGGTGCACAGGCTGGATGGAGTTCTGCTGCCAACTAGCTCCCGAGAATTCCTGGGGCCGCAGAGCACTTTCATTAAAAACGCACACTTCCTCCAGAGTCACGGCAGGCTCTCCCTCCAGTCTCCAGGCTCTTCTCAAGGTTCAAGGATGAGAGTCCAGTTCAAAAGGGTGTGAGCATCCAGTAACTGTGACCTGACCCTGCCTGGCGCGCTGGGCTTGCTCCTCTAGGGATCCACATCGTCAAGGTCACTTCTTAACTCGCCAATCATCATGGGTGACTCAGAGCCCTTGAGAAAGAAAACAAGTTCACATACAGCCCATTAAAGAAATGTTTTTCTATGCGAACTGACTTGTGTATAGTCCTCAAGGACCAACTTAGTGTTTATCAAAGGGCAATAAAACACAGTAACTGTTGATCTTACAACTCCTGATTCCACTTCTATGTTCTTGATTAGTACTGAATCCACCCTGTCACTTGAGAAAAGCCACAAGAGCACCATGTGGGCAAGTTCTCATGAAAACCCCAGGTGAGGACCGTCCAGCGTGAGAGGCACTGGCATGCTTCCTGACATCTGCTTCCTGCCCACTCTGTCCCCAACTGTACAGCCATGGGTTTATGCGCCAGCCAACGGATCTGAGTGCTCACCAGTTGCTCCGGATCTAACCTAGCTGGGGTGGCACTGGGGCGGGGCGGGGCAAAGGGTCTCTCTGCTAAGTGACAGGTCAACTGAGTGGGAATTAAGAGGAAAGTGGGAGTGCTATGCAGAGGCCAAATCAAATAGGATGTGTTGAGGATTCTGGCCTTCATCCTAACAGCAACAGGAAGTCATTGAAATGCTTAAGGAAAAACCTACAGAAAAGCAGGTATGGAGGCAGGGACCTCCCCTGCTCCATAAGGCAGGATGAGATGTGTAGGTCAATGTAACAGGGCTGGTGAGTGCAGGGTGTGGGCAGTGGTCTGGGTGACCCTGTGTGTGCAGAGTGCTACTCACGAGACGGAGAAATCTGGTGGGGTGTGAGAGGGCCTGGCATGCTGGGCAAGAGGTGGCTGTGTGGGTGTGGAGGAGAAAGTACTGAACAAGGGCAAGAGAACCCGGGACGGAGGCTTGAGGAACACATCATGGTGGCCCACGGGAGGCTGACTTGGGAAGGAGACAGGAAAAGAGCAGTTGCCCAGAGGGCTTTGAGGAAAATTAGGAATGAGCTGTCACTGCAGCCCCAGAAGACAGTGTTTCCAAAAGGGAGAGAGGCCAACAGGGTCTGATGCTGCTGAGCAGTCAACTAGGGTGAAGGCTGAAAAATGTAGACTGGGTGTCACCCGAACTTGCCCAAACTGTCACCTCCAAGCTGGAGAGAAGGGTGGCGGGTGGCCAGAGGACGTTGAAAAATGGCGTATATTAAATTTAGACAATTCTCTGGAGCAGTGTGACTGGAAAAAGCAGAGATATGCGGAAAAAAGAGGGACAAGGTGGGAGCAAACCGAGCGTGTGGAGACACAAGTTGGATGGGATCTGATGAGGTGGAGGTTCAAAACACCAGAGAGAGAGAGAGAATGAAGGGTTTCTGCGAGATGGTGAGGGTGTGTGAGGGGGGTGGGGGGTGGGGGGATGCGGCAGTGCAGACGGAGGCGTGGAGAGGCTGGGAGCCCGCAGCGGCACATGCTCTTGTTGACAGGTTTGACTTTCTCTGCAAATAAAGCAGGTGGTGAGGTAGGCTGCAGTGTGACCCTGACCCTGGGATCATATCACTGTGCTGAGCCTTAGTTTCCCTTCTGTAAAATTAGGGGGATGGCAGTTTCACAAGGTTGTTATGAGGAAAGATATTTAGAAAATGACACAGACAACACCAAGATTCATTTATTGAGTCCTCTGTGCCAAGTACTGTGATGGAGCTACAGAGCAGATGGTCCTCACAGAAGGTCACAAGCTGGCGGGGAGATGCAAAAGGCCATTCCATGGGTCTGCAGACACATACCTCATTCTTTCCTCTATCATACTGATCAGTGCTGAAAACGTTCCTATTATTACCATTACTGTGTTGTTGCTGTCAATAAGCTTAGGAGTATTCTTTGATTTCCCTGACAAGTAGGTGGCCCCTCCTTTCAACGGTCTACATTTCTAGGAGCACTGGTGACAGCAAAAAGTGGAGGGGGGAATTTTGTGGCCACCGGCAGGATGACGTGAACAAGCTGGGATGGAGCTGGCTGTACTGGGACTATCTGCAAGTTGACGAGAACAGTCAGTCACAGACAGCTCAGAGCCTTGTACCGATGTTACACTGCAGCGCTCTGGAAGCACACTGCCGTGAGTCCTGCACCGAGATCACTAGAGGGTGGAGCTGGTCTCTGTTTTCCTTCTTGATGTGGAAATCCTTTTTGGGGAACTTCAGGGGAGGCGCTGCCCTTTCACACGAGGCCACGTCCTAGGTCGTACCTGCTGTAAATGCCTCTCTCCATTCTCATTCGCAGGACTGCTCTCCGAGCCGTTACTGCTTCCCGACTGGTCTTTCTCATTCAGTAAAGCTGTGGCATATGCCAGTGTGTCCTGCGGGAGATTTAGACAGAAAAGGTGAGGGGTGGGCAGGAGGCAACGGTAACCACCGAAGAGCTCTACTCTACCCTTGACCTTTGGGGGAGCAGGGTGCCTGGGGGAGGGGTCTACTTGGCAGCCTGGGTGGCACGAGGGGACCAGGCAGGACAGCTCCAGCGATATTTCTTCTAGGCAGAGAATTTGCAGTCTGGCCACCAATACCTTTTTTTTTTTCAGAGCTAAATCACTTCTGAGCTTTCTTGTTTTCAACCTATATTGCTCTTCTCTGCAGAAGATGTTGCAGATTCTGAGAAAAATACTAAAAAGCCCACCTAAGGGATTTCAAGGTCCACAAAACCAAAGACAACCCTCACCTGAGCAGAAATCGTTCGTTGAAAGGTTTTTCCAGTTGATGTTTCATTAGAGACATTACTCTGTGGTGTCCAGTAATGTTCTGACATCTGAGATGAAAGGTCAGAAATGCCATCAGGGATGACAAATAAGCCAAATGAGCCTACAACTTGTATCAGGAGATTTTAAGATATAAAAAGCATCTGAAATAACATATAAGTCTACCCAGATCTTCTATAACATCAAGGGACCTTCATGGAAGATTTGACTTTTTATCTTTAAGATTGCAATATGACCCTAGTTCTTCTATAATTATTCCTACCTTTTTACCTATAAAGTTAAGACATATATTAAGAAATATTGTTAATGCATCAAATAATTTAAAGTCTGAAAGTACGCTGGAGACTGACTCGGTCAGTTTAAAGTTTAAGAAATTCTCCCTGACAGAATGGCTCTGAAGGATCTGTATGCTACAGTTAGAGCAGTTCCAGGTGTGGTCACCTTCTTCTGCAGCCACTGCACAGCCCAGCTCCAGTGGTGGGAGTTCTCCTTGAAGTATTCTTTAGCAGCAGGACACCTAGTGACAAGAGGGAATGATCAGCCAGTGATTTCTTCACACACATAGATGTTCAAACTACCATACTTTTTCTTTTGAATAACAAATGTTCCTTTTGTTTCAGTGGTCTTTATACATTTTTACTTTATAGTTGGTTTGGGTAGGGAATATATTCATCTGTTTAAACCACCAAAGGTACTGACAGATAAAGTGGAAAGTCATCTATCTCATTCACTCAGTTCTATTTAAGATTAGGTGGAAAATAAAAATTAAAACAAAACAAAGCAAAAACTCCACAACAAATTGTACATTTAATAAATGACTTTGATATAGTTAATCAACTCTTTTAATTTTTATGATTTGCATAATAATGAATACTATTAGAAGAAAATAATTTTGAAGTATGGTCTTACAGCCCTCCTCTATTTTCATTTTTATTTGTTTACCTAGAAAACCGTCCTTTGTGTTTAAAGATAGTACTGATAGCGACATTAGCACTAGTGAGTATATAAAACAGATATGTCAAGGGTATGGCAGTACAGAGAGACACTGATTTCCGGATGAGAGTCCACTGGCATCAGACTTACCACGTGCTCCCAAGGTATTGGGAAATGTCACTCTTAGGCAAAACTTATGAGAACACACTGCCAACATAAAATCTAATTAATGAGCCCACAACTGTGGTAGAAGGAGATCCACTATGCTACATTATTTGGACAAATACATGTGCATGCATTATTTTTACTGCACTATAATTTAAGACTGAAATATAGCAGATTAAGCCTAACAGATTTCTCATCCTTATTTTGCTAGAAGTCCAAGGATGATAATCTCTGTGCCTAAGAATTAGCAAAGGTCTGGAGCAAAAAATTTCAGCTATAAAGGTAGCTTTTGGTGCAAGGCCCAGAGATGGCAGGATCGTCAGTTCAGTAACCATGGCTGATCATGCAGACACCCAGTCAGGTGGGGACTGAAGTAGCAAACATAATGTTTGCTAAATGTTAGAGCTTTTACTTTGCAAGTGTCCATTCACTGATGAATGAATAAACAAAATGCATTATATACATACAATGGATATGATTCAGCCTTAAGAAGGAAGGGAATTCTGACATACTATACTATGGATAAACCTTACTTAACTTAAGTGAACTGAGCTAGTCACAACAGGAAAAATAAGTGCTTCTTGATTCCACTTACATGAGGTACCTAAAACAATCTAATTCATAGACAGAAAGAGTGGTATTTGTTAGGAACAGGGAGAAGAGGAAAAGGGAATTATTGTTGGACTGGTATAGTGTTTCAGTTCTGAGGATGAAAAAAGTTCTTGAGATAAATGGCAGTGGTTGAACAACATGGATGCACTTAATGTCATTAATCACATGCTTAAAAATGGCTAAAATGGTAAATTTTATGTTATATATATTTTACCTTCAAAATTAATTTTAAAAAAGGGCTGCGAGGGGGACTTTGCTTTGACCTCAGCCTGCCTGTGTTCAAGTCTAACCTCCATGACTCTGGGTATGTCATTAAGCCGCCTGTGGATGGTCTTACGAGGCTAGATACTGTTGCAGCCTGCTGTTTGCTACAATGATTGCATGAGATAATGCAGGCTAAGTATTTGGCAAAGTGTATGGGTTCTTAAAATACAAAGGCTGTGAGTAACTGGATTGTGTCTCTTGGAAGACTATTTTGAAAGTGGGAGCTGGAAGTGAGGTTACTTTAATGGAAAATGTTTCAAGTGAAGTATCATGGTCATTTGCTGGTAGTCTCTGTCTTGATTCCTCCCCTTCTGCAAAAGGCAGTTCAGTTTCCCCCTTGGATTCTATAAGATGTTAGTCTTTTAATGCTTCCCCTTCACCTCTCCTTGAGCTATCTGAATAGGTTTCGATGCTAAAGCAAACATAAACGTTTGACTTTTAGGAGAACTGAAAGGAACTACAATTGACATGGCTATTTATCTAGAGGCTTCCAAACTTCCCCATGCTATAGAGGGAGGAGTGGTCCCAACTCTCGCTGTGATCAATGGAAATGTACTTGGATGCAGACTCGCTAGGTCCTAAAACAAGGCAGCTTTCTCAGTCACCTCTGATCTGTAAATCTCCACTCTCTCCTTGTATTTTAAATAAATACTTACTTTTGAGCAAGTGTTACAAGAAATTTGACACACTGATAGCAGCGACTGCTGTCCACGTGATTACTGTGATGCATCAGAGCTGAAGGAAGAGAAGAGGAAGTTTTCACAATAAAGAACTGAAAGTGGGCCAAATAACAGTTCTTTTGTTCTGACAATTCACACACTATTTTGCTGATAAGCGTATGAAGAAAAACTTCACTGAAAGCCTGGTAGTGCTGACTCAATAGGATTCTCCAAATTCTAAGGGGTAGAAACACTACTTATAACTTCTATCAAGATACATATCTAGTGGTAAAAGTTCAACTTTTAGGAGAACTGAAAGGAACTAAAATAGATATAGCTGACTACTTATCTAGAGGCCTCCAACCGTTCCTATACATCACGCTATGGAGAGAGGAGTGGTCCCAACTCTTGCTGCGATCAGTGGAAATTTATGGTATTAATTCAGTGCGACAAGCGCTATCCTGCTCTGTGTGCTAAGGACTTTAAGACACCCAGTACTTGGGCCTCTTCCTGCGGCATGTGTATGCTGTACGTGCCGGAGGGCTCGGTGCTGCTCTGAGCACAGGCAGTTCCAAAGGGGTGGCCTAGAATATTGTAGTGATAAGAACTTGACTCAGATTAATGGATGTTAAGAGCTGAACAGGGCTATCTTTAACCAAACTTTTCCTAAGATATGATCATTAAAGCCAATTAGTCTCCTGAAAAACTCAGCTTTGATGAAAGTGGTAACATTCCAAGTCTGAAGTGTTAGCTATTTTCCCCTCAATGGCCGTAGAGTAGAATGAGATTCCCTATGTCACAGTGGTCTTTACTCACAGCACCCCTGAATCTTGCCTGACCTGGGAAGAGGACCTAAGCCACACTTTAGGGACTAGAACTGGAGAGTATCAACGGTGACAAGATCCTCTTGTTTAATTCTGACTTGAGTGTAGAGCGCGTGCATCCTAAGCAGACCTCGCGTGGATTCTTCCCTGACTACACCAGCACGCAGTGGAGGGAGGCAGGCCTGCCGGGCGGGCTGCTAGAACAACGGCCATTCAGTTACTTCAGACAGCTCTGAAGATAGCTGGGGACACTTGCCTAGTAATCCATTTTCTGTCTCAAACACAAATTTGACTCGTTCAACTTGTATAGGATCTTCAATGACCTGTAAAAGGAAGGAGAAAAAGGTCAATAAAAGAAAGAAATTGTGTGGTAGCTAGTGGTTTTTTAAAAAAGTGTTCTGTTCAAAAGATTAACTTAGTTTGTAAGTTAACAAAACCCAAACTATTTATTACATCATTGCCATGAAATATCTTATATTTTAAACTAAAGATGAGAAACTATTAAAGAAACTTTTGTTGCTGAGGCAATGTTGGTTTACAAAACCGTATTGAATCTAGGGATATAGGTCCCCCCTCTTCAGTTGTATGTGGCCACAACACAACTACCAAATATCTATAATCCTCCACCACAGCCCACTGGCCTCCTCTCCCCTTTGTTTCACCCTCACTCTCCCCCTCTGGTAGCCTCAATTCTGCAGTAGAAAAACTTAGTATTTGAAGAGTTTGCATTTCTTACCTAACTGTTCTTATCAACTACACCTCTAATTCCTAGTGGGTTGTAAGGACATTTATTTCATGATCTGACAGTAAGTCTAATTTATTTGTCAAAAATGTGGTAAAATGTTGCTATAAGAAAGGCTCCACAAACTGAAGTGATGTCTGTAGCACACTGCGCAGGGCCAGGACTGTGTCTTCCGCTTGCTGTATTTCTAGGGGCTGACACAGGGTAGTAAGCGATACAGGTCTGTTGCTGAGCCAACAAAGTGCCCAGCCCTACTCCCATGAGCCCATAAAGCTATAAAAGCAATGGGACAAAAAAGGATGTGAAGGGGTTTAGAGGGGTCCATGATTTATTTCCTTATTTTCTAACCTCTCCTGCATGAAAGCCTATATTAAGGCTCAGGGCCCAAAAAGGACCCAGTGCCTCCTTTTTTTTTTTTTTAAGATTTATTTTATGCTCACGGAACTGGGGTACAGGTCAGACGAGCAGTGGTGGGTGAGGGGATTCACCAGAGACAGAGTGGGGAGCAGAACAGGCAGATCGACAAAGTACACTGCTGAGGGGAGCAGTGGGCAGGTCAGGAGAG